GGTGACAAGGCCCTCTGGCCCACCACCACGGGCACTGCGTGGGGTGCCCCGTGCAGAGGGCAGAAATGACAGGGGCAGCGGGGACAAGGGGGTCTCACCTGGCCAGCAGACCCACTGCGTAGTGGTGGGTGTCGGCGTTCAGGAGCGTGTCCCAGCCACACTTGCGCTCCAGTGCCATCAGCAGGCTCTCGAGGCGCAGACGGCGCAGCAGGGCTTTGAGGGTCAGCACTGCAAACCTGCGTGCAGAGCAAAGCCCGGGTCATGCTGGGAGCTCTGGCCAGCCCCCAAGACATGGCAGGGACAGGAGGAGTGGGATGGAGCACCTGTTGGGGTTGGTGGGAAGGCTGTGGTGCTTCTGGCACTCCCTCCACAAGGTGTCAACCTCCTCCCGCATCTGCACTGTGCTGAAGAACACTTGGAAGAGCAGATGCACAAAGAGGTTGGGGAAACGCTCCCTCACTGCCCGTGTGTAGCAGAGCAAATGGAGGATCTTCCAGAGTGCCACGGTTGCCTGCAAAAGAAAACCAGCCGGAGACAGCGCTCAGTGCCCAGACATCCATGTGGCAGGGCCCGAGCGTGGCAGGGAGAGGCCAGGGGAGACACAGCAGGAGCAGCCGGCCTGGTGCCCCTGAACCTGCCCCTAAGCCGGCTTTCCAGCCCAGTGCCTGAGGCAGGGAGATGCAGTGCTGGGGGAGGATGAAGAGCTGCCAGGGAGGTGACGTGAGGGTGAGCAAAGGCCACTTCCAGAAACTCACAGCCAGCGCAAAGACTTCTGTTTCATCCCCATCAGAGGTGCACATGCTGCAGGCTGGCCAGCTTCCCAGGATCAGGGCAAGGATGGTCAGCGCTGACTCTGCCGTGGTTCTCAAGGAGATGATTGCTCTCCACATGCTCACAGCAGCTCTGTGGGGTCAAAGCTCTGTGTCAGCGGGCTCTCAGCCACAGTGCCACGGCCTGGGCACTTCCCACTCCCAGGTGACAGAGCCACAGCACCTTGAGGAGCAAGGAGGGCACATGGCAGCAGGATGCGTGGCTGGCATGCCAGGGCCGGCAAACAGAAGAGCCAGAGGCTCTGGGAACTCTGGGCCTGACAGACACCTGGGACGGGCTCTACAGGCCGATGGGCTGGTGAGCCCTGGAGGTACGGGGGCCCCATACCTGTCACACGATGGGGCCCAGCGCAGCAGAGTCACCACCACATCCACAGGGTGTGCCTTGACCAGAGCCAGCAGAGTCTTGTCGAGTCTGCGCTCAGCAGCCACATTGGCCGTCAGCCACCGGTGGATGTACCTGACCAAGGCCGGCACCTGCAGGGGGCACGGGGCACACTTGGAGAGCTGCCAGAGCCAGCAACTTGCCCGGCTTCTCCCGACAAGCGCTTCCCTTCCCAGCACTCTGGGCTGGCCTCAAAGGCTGAGGGGGCCCAGCGGAGCCGGCGTGAGGGCCCGCACAATCCCTGCAGGGCCGGAGCCCTGGCCACAGGCTGCTTACTTTCTTGGCACTGGAGACACCATTCTCCACCAGCAAATCCAGCAGGGCAGCACTGGTTTCGGCACTGCAGAGGTCAGAGTTTGCCATGCCCCCAGCGCCCATGGCGATGGTCTCTTCCCTCCAAATGCGCCTGGTGAATTGGCAAACCATCTGCAGGAGAAAGGCAGGAAGAGAGGGATGTGCCCTGGAGAGCTCCGACAGCGGTGCCAGGCTGAGCAGTGACAGCAGACCCAGCCCAGGAGGTGGTGGCTGCAGATACCTGTGCTGCCCTGCGGAAGCGGCCACGGGGGCGGTCCTGCTCCTGTGTCCGGTCCCGGCCTGGATCTGGCAAAGAGCGAGCGCGGTCAGAGCTGAGGGGCTGCGGGACAGGCCGCAGAACACGGCCCAGCCCTGCGCTCCCCAGGCAGGTTCAGCCCCGGGATGCCCAGGGCATGGAGCTGCTGGGTGATAAGTCCCGGGCCCTCCTTCCCCCTCCCTTTCCTTGGCCATGTCCACAGGGCATGGGATGGCCAGTGGCCCATCTGGCTGCAGCCACCAGCCCTGGGGCCCAGCTCTGCCACTCACCCTCCTGCAGGGGCTGGGACTGCTCCGCCTCTTCAGGCTGCTGGGATGGGGCAGCTCCAGGGCCTTCCTCCTCCCCCTCCTTCAGCCAGGCCAGCTTGGGCACCCTGGGGGGTCTCTGCTCTGTGTCTCTCTCTGGCTTCATGGCTTCCTGCAGGAGAGATGGCACGGAAAAGCTCTGGCTCCCCAAGTCCTGCACCAGTGCCTTGAAGGCACCTGCAACACAGCAGCTTTGGGAACGCTTCAGCTCATCAAGTCCCAAAGTCTGGCCTGGAGGGGCCATGGGGGAGTTGGAGAGCTGCCAGAGGGAGCAATTTCCCCCAGAAGCGCTTCCCTTCCCGCCACACTGTGCTGGCCTCAAAGGCTGAGGGGGCCCAGCAGACCTGGCTTGAGGGGCCACCCAGTCCCTACCCACAGGCTGCTTACTTCCACAGAGACAACTCTCTCCCCAGGAATGGCCAGAGCAGGAGCATTGGGCAGGCGCTGAACGGCTGCGATGTCAGTGTCTGCCTCGCCCTGGGGCGTTGCGCCGTCAGCCTTGGCCGTCAGCTCACTCGGCGTGGGGTCAGGCTGTGCCATGACCTCGGTCGGTGTGATCCTGGTCTTCCGACGCCGAATGCCCACGAACTTCAGAACGGCCTACAGGAAAACAAAGGGCAGGGAAGAGAGGGATGTGCCCTGGAGAGCTCCGACAGTGGTGCCAGCCTGAGCAGTGACAGCAGGCCCAGCCCAGGAGGTGGTGGCTGCACGTACCTGTGCTGCCCTGCGGAAGCGGCCACGGGCGCGGTCCTGTTCTTGTGTCCGGTCC